CATTAAATTCCAGTGAAATATATTTATGTTTGTGGTTGTAATGTGACAAAATATGGAAAAGTTCAAGGGGTATGAATACTTTTGCAAACCACTGTAAATAGCACATTGTTAAAGTGTTCCAGATGATATTGGACAATTGAAAATGTCTCATTAACATGAAAGATTATACAAGAAGAGAGGATGTTAAGGGACACTGCACATGTTTGAGTAAAGTATCCAAGATAAAYTAAAATGCACAGATGAAATAAAGTGAGAAATGACCAAAGGTTTCACATGTTAAGGGATGAGTTGTAGAGTTTGATGGCCACTGCTGAACGACCTCCTGTGGCGCTCAGTGGTGCGTTTTGATGGAATGACTTCCAATGAAGGCTTAACAACTTTGAAATTCATTGACCCACAATTATTTTTTATATATGCTTTCATTGCTTTCCTGTGGCAGGCAGACTCCAAAAGTTGCTTGCTTCATTAAAATCTATCCAGTGGGTCATGAGATATTTYRCTAACAGTYCAGACAAATAAACRTATAAGCACACGCACCGACATGAGCCGAAACATCATCGCTCCAACTCTGGCAGCGGAAAGGAGCAGTAAAAAACCAAAAACACATCATTCCATTTCATCTACAGTTGGATGGGAAAGCATCTCAGTGACAGACAGAACAAGTGTCTGTGTGGGTGAAGCAGGTGGGAGGGTRGAGGAATCACAGTACATCTGCTCTGAAAGGGAGGGAGGAACGRGTGGATGTAAGGACAGAGGGACAAAAAAATGTGAGCTGAGAATGAACCTTAGAGGCAAACTTAGTTTATCTTTTTTTTTCTTTGTTCTAGCTCATGAATAATCCACTTCAGTGCCAGAAGGGAAGGCAAAGACAGATTGATTCCCGATAATCTCCAGGTCTGAAACACAAAGCTACTTTTCACCAGACTGCAGCGAGTCTTTAACTCAGCTGAGTCGAACCGAGACCTATCAAACTCATTATTAAAAGTTGTATACGAAGCTAATCAAAGCTCAAAACAAGAGGCGCACAACTGTCAGCTCATCCWGTTGAATGCACATTAGAGGGAGTTGCTTTGGCTGTTAGCCATGAGCCTGCCTGTCCTTGAGCCCTCTCTCTGCAGTATAGCTCGCCTCCGAGTCTGGAACATTTGGTCAACCAGAGCCAGCAGGTATGACACCGCTTCTTCTGACACGCTGAAATCCACATCTCAGGCCTGCCAAGTGCCTCAGCGGATGTCTTGGTGAGGGTTGTTTTGGATGTGGGTTTCTGCTTTGTGAGGCTCTATTTACATTCCTCCTGCATATGAAGTGGCCATCAATACGTTACAGCGTATGGGAGATTTTCAAAGACTCGGGATCGCCGGAATCAGCTTTGCGGTCGTGGGAAAGAAGGGTTTGATGAAAACAAAAGGAAGCCGATGCCCTGAGAAGATTTTTGAACCGTTTTATTGATCCAGATTTTGTGCCTCAGTCTCTCTGATCCGTTCTTTGCCCAACATCAGATTAGGAACGACTGGGTAACACTGTGCACAGCCTTGACAATAAATTTGCACGACAAGCTTTGCGCACCTATTATTAAAATAAATTGACTCAGCACGGGGTTTTCTCCTGGAGGCACATCATACAGGCAGGAAGGAATAGTTTCTAAATGCCAGCATGATGGAAATCTTTGTAAGTGACAGTTCAGACAGAAAGCAGAGGAAGCAGGAGTCTTGTGAGGTGTGCTTCTTCTTCTTTTTTTAACAGAAAAAAAAGATGTAGTCAGAGGAGATTGGTGAGGAGTTAGAGAAGAATAAGGGCCAACGGAGGAGGAAGCAGTGACGATAACAAAGACAGACTCCGCTGCRATGACATCACTTCGTGGTCCCAAAGGGGACACGAGTCGTCTCGCATACAGTCGGAAGCAGTTAAAGTCATAAAAAAAAACAAGCAAATGCACAAAGACGCACCTGTTAGCATCATCATCATAAGCTTTTCTTCCTGCTTTGKATTAAACGGCAAGCTTAATTGCCTTCTTATGCATTTGCCTGAAATTTTAAAGTCAGTTTCAATTTTAGACCAAATTTTTAAGCTCAACAAGAGACAGCAAGAAAGTGAGACTAATACACTGCAGAACAAACAATACTCTCTGGTGTATTCACAAGAAAATGATTTATGAGAAGAATTAGCTGCTTTACTAAGAATAATGATGCTGTTAAATAAGTTCATCGGCTTTCTAACTGCTTATTATTAGCTATGGAGTGGCAAGATTCCCAAAAGACATAACGTTAAACCTCACATTTGTCTTGATTATTTTGCATAAAGTCAGCTACATTATAAATAACCTAAAGTAACAGTTCAGTCACCATACTGTGTAATGCAACTGTCAAATATGTCTTTAAAACCCCCTTTTCAGAGCTGTAAAGAGGTGGTTGCAGTGCAGATTTAAAATAAAAACATTAGCAATTTTCAAAGAAAAAAAGTCATATTTATTCCTTTTAACTATGGAGTTGCATTCTAAATTCATCAGGAATGCACACTAGTGATTTAATTGAGTTTAATAGTTTTATTTTTCTTATATTTCATAATATTAACAGTGATTTTTAAGCTGTTCTCGTTGTATCCACTGGCCTCAGTTATTGTAGCTTCCAGCGCCATGCTCACACCTGTTCCTCAATAAGTCATCAGCACACCTGTTCTCACTCACTAATCGCCCACATCAGTGTTTGAATGTTCTTTTGTTTGATGATCTCATTCTGTTTATTGATTTGGCTGTTCTGTCTGTTTTTTTATTACTTTAATTTTATTAAAAATCTTACCAAGATTCAGAACCAGTCTTCTTCATCACTAATCTTACCATCTTTTTTTTAAACAAACCATGATTTAAATAACTAAAATAGGTCTTATATCATCTGCAAAATGTTTAACTTGCTTATTTTGTGATCTTTTGAGTGTTTCTAATAAATAAAAATTCAGGATTTTCTGGATATGCTTGCTAATATTCCTTAATTTTTTTGACACATGTTAATATTTATAAAAAATTCAAGCACCTGACTGCTTCRTAGAAGAGCTTATGATCAGAGGGACACATTTTGACAAGTCACCTGTGTTAGAAGTGAAGAAATCATTTTAACAGAGAAAAAAAATGGAACAATGTCAAAAGCTGCAGGAATTAAAGAATGTTTAATGTTTTTTTAACTGTATTTTTTAATATAATTATTCTTCTTTTTCTACACTGGAATTGTATAAAATATTATTTGTCAGTCTTTCTATCGCCTAAAATTGAAATGTTTTTGCCTGTGTGTGTGCCTGTTAGCAAAATATCTCATAAACCACTGGGCAAGTTTTAAAGAAACTTGCAGAAAGTAAACATCAGATCCTCAACTGGTTAACTTTTGGAGCCAGTTGTTTTCAAACTGGCTGCCAAAGCTAGCTGATCTTCAAAAAACAAATTGTGGCTATAACTTTGTCAGTTTTATAGACTTGGATTTAAAATTTGTTGTGATTGTACTTGAGACTAATTACCAACTCACACTTATGCAAGCTTTTTTCATATTTTCAAAAAACATTTTTGGGAGTCAACTCTGTCTGTCTGTTAACAAAATATCCCTTGAACCAGAAGACACAATTTAACAAAACGTTCAGGAAATAATTGTTACATGTGCTTCTGCAACTCTTTAACTTTTGGGGCCAACCCAATTCAATATGGCTGCCCCGTGCATCTGACCTTGGAAAACACAAAAAYACCAATAATTCTGAAAGTTTTACAGATATTAAGCTAACATTTGGAGTGAAAATAGCTGAGAGTCAGCTCCAATACATACTCCAAGCATTATGCAATGCATGTCATTTTTGCTGAAAATCTTGGTGGGAAATGCTAGGCCTTTAATTACTGCAATACAATTTCTTGAGAACTTATTCTATCTCCAAACCGGTCTTACAGGAAACCTAAACTTCACCATGTCATTTAAATTGTTTTGTAGATTCTTCTGTCAGACTGAATCAATTATTCTGTCAATCTGGTGAGAGTTTGACTCATCACTTGTAAATAGTTTAGTGACATCATCTGCAGGGGAGAATTATTAGAAGATTTAATGGAGACGGCTGAGGGGTTCTCAAAGCGGGGCCCCTGGAACAATAAGCTGACAGATTGGTCCCCCACAGTCTGTTGTCAGGGGAGGAAGCAAGGAGGGCAAAGAAAAAAGAATTAACAGAAAATATTTCTGGCGAGCTCGATGGGACTCCATTCCTTTCAGGAGGGGGTGGGGCTGTGGTGGGGGGACTACTTGAGGAGGGAGCTTTGTGTGAAAAGATATAAAATGGAGCCAGTTGAAAAGAGAAGTAAACAAGTAAAACACTGGAAATGCCTAAAAGAAATATGTGGAAGCAGAAGGTAAGAAACGCTGCAGTGCAGAGTTGAAAAGTGGAAATCCAGCACACAGCGGGGGTCATACCTTGTGAGACCAACCCAAAAATACATCAACCCCTCCCAAAGGAGCCAGATAATCCTGCTTCTGATGAGCAGGAGGAGTGTGTGTGTGTGTGTGTGTATATATATGTGTGTGTGTGTGTGTGTGTGTGCGTAACAATCCCACAGAGACAAGAAGAAATTTAAGATGGAGAGTGGTGGACTAAAATAGAGACAAAGAAATGAGGCAAGATTGTTGGTTAATGTTTGCGTGGGTCAGAAGAATTCACTTTCACCTGACCCAGAAGCCACGGGGGCCTCAGGACCGGAACACACAGAGTTCTCAGCAGGACTTCTCACTCTCTCATGTTACAGGAGGCCGCTTGTTTCTGCTGCCCACACTTACCCTCCATGGGAGTGTTGCTGTCGGTCCTGTTGGCAAAGACCACGTCCACATACTCCAGCTGCATCCTCTGGAGGGAACCCTTTAAACCTGCAACCAGAGGAGGTGGAGTTTAGTCAGAAAGGACCAAAGGAATAAAAATACATTTATAAATATAAAGCACTTAATTTATGACATGCTAAATGTAATCGTGTGACGAATACATATTTTATACATTAAACTTAATTTCAAACCTCTGAAATCCCAACAAAAAAGCAAGGATGTGGTTTAAAATGTAAACAAATCCTAAACTAAATTTGYATTTCCTGCGAAAATGCAGTGTGAGTAATGCTGAAACACTTTTTTTTATAAAAGCTGCTGAAAAAGCTGAAAAGGTTTAATAGCAAAGCTGTTAATGTGAGTTCAATCTGAAAAGTTTTTGTGAAAGAAAGAAATTAACTAAACAGGTGATGAACGGATAGTAAAAAAAGCTCACATGGACAGAAAAACAAAACAAAGCAGTTCAAAAACAAGTTGCAATGTGTTGTAAAATAGCTAAAGCAGCCAAAAATATGCAGAAAAACAGCTAAAGTACAAATCACAAAAGGGCGAATTAAGATGAAAAAGCTCAAATTTGTTGTAAATAGCTACAAAGTAGCTGAACAGGCAGAAAATAGCAGAAATTAGCAGAAATCAACTAAAGAAGTATAAAAGCTTAAGTTAGCACAAAGAAGCAGAAGCTAAGTGTTTAAATTAACAGTAAATAGCTGAAAGAACTGGAAAGATAGCTGAAAAAGCAATAAAATAAAATAAAATAAAAAAGCTACAATTAGAAAAAAAATGAATCTGAATTAGCTCAAAGAAGTTTAAAAAAGCAGATTTAGAACAAAAGGTAAAAAGTACAATAAATATTTTTAAACATTTTAAAGTTTTAAAGAGAAAAAAGTGTCAGAAAAAGCTCAATAACACCTTACTGAAACATTGAAAGTCATAGCATACATGAACTGAACATTTTGAACTCTTAAAATAGCACATACATTGTGGAAACAGTTGGATGCCAAAAAAAACATTGCCTTKAGTAAAAAAACATCTAATACACATTTAATAATTTGCTTTTGAGGTGCAAAATCGGAGACTTTCCAGAACAGAATGACACTTGAGAGAGAATATGACGATGAGTTCAGAAACAGTTTTTTGTTTTGTTTTGTCATTGAAGCTTTGTTGTTCTTCTTGTAGTTAAAATGTAATTGCCTGTTTACATGTGTTGTTTAATTATCTCATGGGCAAAATGAACTCAGATTTGTAGATTTTGAACTCAAATTCTGGTCTAAGAGTAGTTGAGAGTCATCTCCAACATTTACYCTGAGCACTAGCTGATCACACAGCATCTTTGTGTTTGGAGTTTGGCRTGCGAGGTGGCAGGTGATGTGCATTTCTACGAGGAAATAAAAAACGAAAAAGCATTTAGAAATTTTTCATGATCATGATTTTTTTAGGATGAGCTCAGTTCATAGGAAAAGTGACTGTCAAAGCCTTTGTTCTTGATGCATTAATTAATGCTGTTGTTGGATTCCGGGTGAAGCAAACACCTTCTGACGAACAGAAGAGGAAAGATCAAAAGAAACATTTTCTCAGTGTAAACTCGGGCAGATCAGCCCCCATTTCCACGCAAATGAAACCAAATGAGAAATGAAAAGTGCACACAGGAGAATTTGACAAAGGAGGACAGCAGAGCAATAAAAACATGAAAAAGTAAGGGTTGGTGTATGTGTGTGTGTGTGTGTGTGTGTGTGTGTGTGTGTGTGTGTGTGTGTGTGTGTGTGTGTGTGT